AAAACATCAATGAAATTAACAAATCTTTAACTAACTTGACTAAGAAAAAAAGTAGGGGGCTTCTCTGGTGGCAGTGGTTAGGAATCCGCCTGTCAATGCAGGGGACACAGGTTTGAGCCCTGGTCCAGGAAGATCCCACATGCCACGGAGCAACTAAGCCCGTGCACCACAACTACTGAGCCTGCGCTCTAGAAGGAATAGACACTAGAAGAAAACTACAGACTAATATCCCTTATGGATATAGATGCAAAAAACCTCAATAAGTTACTAGCAAATTGAATTCAGCAGCATATTAAAAAATTATACATCATGACCAAATGTGATTTCTCCCCAGAATGCAAGAATAGTTCAACATATGATAATCAAGCCAAGTAAAATACCACATTAATAGAATGAATTTCTGAAACATGATTATTTCAACTGATGCAGAAAGAGCATCTGACAAAATCCAACACCCTTTTATGATTTAAAAAAAAAAAAACCACTCAATAAACTAGAAATAGAAGTGAACTTCCTCAACAAAATAAAGGCCATGTATGTAAAACTCAGAGCTGAAGGCTGAAAGGCTGAAAGTTTTTTCCCTAAGATTGGGAACAAGACAAGGGTGCCCACTTTTGCCACTTCATAGCATAGTACTAGAAGTTCAAGCCAGAACAACTAGGCAGGAAAATGAAATAACAGGCATCCAAATTGGGAAGGAAGGGGAAAAACTATCTCTAGTCACAGATGATATGGTCTTATATGTTAAAAATCCTAAAGAATTCATACACACGTGCACACACACAACTATAAAAGCTAATAAATTCGGCAAAGTTGCAGGATATAAAATCAACTCACGAAAATCAGTTGTCTTTCTATACACTAGCAATGAACAATGCAAAAAGACATTTAAAGAACAATTCCACTTACAGTAACATCAAAAAAACCCCAAAGACCTCTTAGGGATAAATTTAATCAAGGAGGTGCAATTCCTATACACAAAAAACTACAAAACATTGATGAAAGAAATCTTAAAAGACCAAAATAAGTGGAAAGATATCCCATGTTCATGAATTGGAAGACTTGATATTATTAAGATGACAATACTACCCAAAACAGATGACAATACTACCCCAAACAGATTCAATGCAATCTCTTTCAAAGGCCCAATTATGTGGTTTGCAGAAATGGAAAAATGCATCCTAAAATTCATATGGAATTTCAAAGACCACAAATAGCCAAAACAATTTTGAAAAAGGAAAACAAGGTTGGAGGCCACACACTTCCCAATTTCAATTTCAAAACATATTACAAAGCTACAATAATCCAAAAAAAAAAAAAAAGAATGATATACTTAAGATTGGATCACGTCACTGTAGGTAAATTATATCACAATGAAAATAAATTTTTTAAAAGGCTTTCCAATACCAAGTGTCAGCGAGTATTTGGAGCTTTCATACATTGCAGATGAGCATGTAAAATGGTGCAGGTGCTTTGGAAAACAATTTGGCACCTTCTTATAAAGTTGAACGTACCCTTACCATATGACCCAGTGATCCCACTTCTAAGTAGATTTCCAAGAGAAATGGAAACATATGTCCACGCAAAGGATTTTACACCTATGTTCATGACAGCTTCATTCAGAACAGTCAAAGACTGGGAATTTCCCTAATGTCCATCAACAAGTGAGTGGATAAACAAATGGCATATCCAATGGAATACTACTCGGCAAGGAAAAGGAATTCGTTACTGATACACTCGGCAACATGGATGAATCTCAAAGCATGCGGAGTGAAGAAAGCCATAGAGAAAGGAGTACATGCTACATATAAAACTCTTACAAAGGCAAAAGTGGCCAATAGTGACAAAAAGCAGGTCAGTGTTCCTCTGGGGTCAGATCATAAAGGGGCAGGAGGGAACTTTCTAGGGTGGTAGAAATGCTCTACAATCTTGATTGTAGTGGTGGTCACGTGAGTCTATACAATTTGTCAAAACTTATGCAACTTGAAATGGATGCAGTTTACTGTGTGTCAATTAAACCTCAGTAAAGGTGAGGGGGTTTTTAATTTAAAAAATTTAAATAAATTAGTTTAAAAAGAGAGACAGAGAGAAAGTTGGCTGACAGGCTGGGGTACAGGTTGGAGTCCAGGCCACATGTGAAGTTCATGTGTGAAATCTACATATGGAGTTTGGGCCACATGTGAAGACTTTCCTGACACACATCTCTTCAGATCCTCCTCTAAGGCTCCTACAGATGCCTGGGACCCTGGGCCCCATCTCCCACTCCCAAATGCCCACTGGGTGTGAGGGCCTTGGCAGTAAAAAGTGACATTTCCGGTACATTCATTCATGTGTTCGTTCAACACACATTTGTTGTCTACTGGGTGCTAAGTGCCTCCTGGCACTTAGGTTCTCTATTAAGTAAACAAAACCAGATCTTCTTCCTGAAAAAGGATATTAATAAAATAATTTTAAAACGTGATTTGAAGGTGTTGAAACAGAATACTGTGTAAAAGGGGTGGGACAATTGGTTTCCAGAAGGTCCAAGGGCTCCTCTGAAGAGGTGACAATTTACACCAAAGCCCAGAGAGGAGAAGTGTCAGCGGGGGGGCCTCCCCACTGCTGGTTCTGCAGGGCCCATCACTGGTTCTGGCCCAGAGCAGGTGCTTGATAAATGGTTAGGAATACAAAGATGCCTTGCTTAATAAATTAACTTTTAGGCAATGTATCAGTCAGATTTCTCCAGAGGAACAAAACCAGAGAGAGACAGAGAGAGGCAGAAACAGAGAGAGATCGATTTTAAGGAATTGGCTCACAGGACACACAGCTCCTGGTAGCCGCCACCCATGCAGTGCCTGGGTCATCCTGAGAAGAATACAGCCATGGCAGGAGCAAAAAGCCACCTTACTAGCCACAGCCTTGGGCCCTGGCAGCCCTGCTGAGGGCCCCTCAGATGGAGCAGATTCCAGAGGAAAAGGAACTACCTGCTCCCTCTGCCCAACAGACTACCCAGCCTGAGAGGAAGGGGGCAGGTCAGAGGCTGCAACAATTGCCCTCGCATCATGGGCTGTCAGCAATCAGCCAACGAGACGTGTCCGTGGACGCCCTACCTAGACCCCTCTGCCCACCTGAGTCCGTCTGCTGCTGGCGAGTTCCTGGCATGAGGATGTCTTCAAGCTCTTCCCTCTTTCTTCTTCTCTGCCTGCTGGCTCTCTGACACCAGAAAGCTTGCTGGGTGCCACCCAGAAACGCAGGGGGCTTGATGCCCCCAAAGAGCAGATAAGTGCCCCAGCCTCCCTAGAAATGCTCTACAGTTAATTAAAAGTAGAAATACATTTCCTCAGAAATACATTCCTCAGAAATACATAGCCACAGTTCTAGTACCCAGTAGCCTGCATGCGGCCACTGGCTATCATACTGCTCAGGGTAGACTTAGAATATCCCCAACGTGACAGAGCGTTCTACTGGGCAGCAGTGTCTGAGGGTCCGCAGGGGGATGGAGCCCCAGCTGCCGGCTCATGTTGACTTTTCTCTCTTCCCTGTCTCCCCTCCTGCAACCTTACCCGTGCTTCCTGGAAGCTTCTCCCAAATAAAAGACCTGCACCCAACACATCGTCCCAAGGTCTGCTTTCTGGAGAACCTACGTCAACGCACCTGTGACATCGGTATGAGGGCAGTGGGGGTGACTCAGCCGCCACCACCTGAGAGCCCCAGAAGGACCTGAAGGGCCGTGTTCCTAACCCCTGTCCTTCCCCCACCCCAATGTCTCCGAAGGTGACACGGGGAGGGACACACAGAAACCAACGTGCAGGGAGATCAATAGCCCTGAGATCTGGGGGTGAGCATCCCAGCCCCTTGTACTCTAAGTGGTGGCAGTGGGGGTCGGAGCCCCTGGTAGTCCCTTCACCCCAGTCCCACCCAAAGGTCCCCTGCACTGCCTGCAGCTGGGAACTTAGGCACTGCAAACCAGTGGCTCAGGGGTGAGCGTTCCCCTCTAGGGGAACCTGTACATTCCTAATGAGGACCCAGAGGCTTAGAGAGGGGAGGTGATTCTGAGAAGGCCACACAGCTGCTGAAGAGCTGAGCTGGCTCCCAAATCCAGGTCTCCTGGGACCCTGGCCCTCACTGTACCCCAACGCCACCCCCGGGGCTCTGGGGCAGACACGGGGATCATAGTTTGGGTGATGCAGGCTCAAGGCAGAAGATGCTGGCACTCCCCAGCTGGGGGTCTTTTTCAGAGCCCCAGGCCCTCCTCTGGGAGGCACATGCAGTGAGCAGCAGGTCTCCCCTTGCCTGGTGAGCCACCTTCATTCGGCCTGAAGGCGCACAGCTCTCAAAGCCCTAAGCGGGCTTCTCCATGGAGGACGGCACAGTGATCGGGAGCAGGGGGACATCCGGGGACAGGGAGACCCGACTACCTCACCCTTCAACCGCCACATTCCCTCCCTGAGTCTCCGCAGCAAGGCTGGACAGGGTGGCAGTCGGAGAGCTCTGAGCCATGGATGTTGTCCCCTGTCAAAATTAAATTAACATTTTTGTCCATTCCCCATTATTGCAAACATATTGAATGCTGTTGCACAAACTCCATTTCTCCACTGGCTCCTCCACCCACTGGTCTTCCAGCCTGGGCTTCCAGGGCAGGCCTGGAACAGGTTGGGGGACAGGTCTCATGCCCCCTCCCCAGCCAAATCCTCAAAGGCCCTGGTCCTCCAGAGTCAGAGCCAAGTACCAGTCCAGGCACGAACCCGTGACCCCCTGACCACCTACTCCTGCCTTCCACTGCTGCCAGCCCTCCCTGTTCCCAGGCACTCACCCAGCCCTGCCCCTCTCCCATGGGGTTAGAAATCCCAGAGGAGAATAAGTTTCCACACACCAGCCATCAGCCCATGGCAAAAATGCTCAGAACTCAGACCTACCAGAGCCGCAAGTGCAGCTGGGGACTCAGATTGCAACATCTCAGCAGGGTCCCCAAGGAGAATGCCCCCCTGGGCTCATTCATTCATGTGTTCAGTAAGTTCGTGGTGAGCACACCCTCTGGTCCAGGCCGTGGAGACTCCAGAAGGATGGGTAGAGCCCTGCTCTCAGAGCTCACCCTTGAGCGGGGAATGCGGCCAGGCGGTGATGACATATACAGTGTGGTAAGTGCAGGTGCTGCAGGAGCACGGGAACCACCAGGAGGGCACTTTCAACTCGGACAGAGAGTTTGTCGAGAAAGGGAAGGAATGGGAGGTGAAAGATTAGAAGCAAGAATCAGTAGGGCCTGGTCGGGGGTGATGGGCGCTTGGAGGTGGATGGAATACAGAGCGGGGGTGTTGGGTCAGGCTGGAGGGATGGTCAAGGACCTGGCCACAGAGGGTCCCATGGGGCCTGTGGGCAGTGGGGAGCCAGTGAAGGGCGTTGCACTGGGGAGTGGCAGGGTCAAGCTTGCTTGTGCAGAAGCTCCCTCTGGCTCCCTGTGGAGGGCCAGAGACCAGCGATGCAGGTGTTGCAATAGTCCGGCCCAGATCAGATGAGCTCAGAATGAAGGCGATGGCAGCGGGGAGAGAACAAAGTTATGGGATTGCGTCGACTGGGGTGAGGGAGAAGGATGAGTCTCGGGTGATGCCCGCATCTCTGCCCAAGAATCAGGTAGGTGGTGGTAGGGGTAGCTTCCCTGAAAGGGGGAGTCCAGCCAGCTGAGTCCGAGGGCCTGTGGGTCACCCTGGTGGGTGCATCGGCTCGGTTCTGGACGTCCTGGTCTGGAGCCCTGGGGAGAGCCGAGCTGGCCATCCGATCCAGTCGTCAGCCCTTACTCTTTGATAATCAGGCTGCTGGCCCCAGGGAAGAGGACGGTGAGGCAAGAAGGGGGTCTGCGCTGACCGCCGGCACGAGGAGGAGCTCAGAGGGAGGGTCTGGGGAGGCAGGGAGAGACCGGGGTTGGCGGGGGTTTATGACAGGCGGGGCTGGGGCGCAGCGAGGTTGGGGAGCAGTGGCACTTAATCACAAGACTCCAGCATCCATTCCTCCATCCGTGGAGGACTGGGGATAGAAACCAGACTGGAGAGGGTTCTGGAGAGGGTGGACAGTAAGGAAGTGGGGGATGGGAAGTGTAGACAACCCTGTGAAGAAACTTCACTGTGGATGGATTGATGGAGAAAACTCGGGGGCGAAGGTGAGGGAGGGTGGTACCCAGAGGGACTTTTTTCATTTGAAGATGAGGGAGAACTGGGAGTGGTGATATGTAGGGCTAGGAAGCATTTGCAGACACGGGAGAGCAGGGAGATTTCTGGGGTGGGGAGGGCTCTGTGCCCGGAGGACACCCGGCACTCAGTGGGCAGTTTTGGGACAAGTGCGTGAGCGGGTACAGATGGGAGGAGCAGGCTTGGGCATCAGGCAGGCTCCCTTCGTGTTGGGAACGGAAGGGAAGGGAAGGCTGGGCAGGGGGATTTTGCAGACAGGGAAGCAGGAGTCTCCACGTGGTGGTTTCTGTGCTTGGAGTAAGGCCAGGGCAGGAGGAGAAGGAGGTCCTCCAGCATCCGTGCCCCCAACGCTCCCCCCTCTCCATCGGCCGGGAGCACACAGACATGGTGGGAGGGGGGCTGGAACGGACACTGCCTGCCGTTGCCGCGTGAGACTGGAAGGGGCTCAGACCGAAGGCTGGGGGCCAGGGTTCAGCCCAGCCCAGCTCTGACTCCACACGTGACCTGGAGCAGAGCCCTCTGCCCCCTTGGAGCCTCCGCTTCCCCACCTGCAGAACGGGGCCTTGGCATCAACGAGCTGACGGAGGAGTGCAATGTGACATTCCTTGAATCTCGCATTTCAGACCTGTGGAATTCCAAGAAGTCAATACCGCATAATTCCAGGCTTCTAAAATTCTATAACATAATTTCTGTGTTGCCACCAGGGATGGGTCCAGCAGACATCTCTCCCCTCAAAATTGCTCTGTCTGCCCATCCCAGCTGCCAGCTCTCCTTCCCTCCCTTTTCCCCATCAACTCCGGGCACGGCCAGCCTCGAACACGTCCCATGTGAGCACTTGGCAGGCGGGGGCTGTGATTCATGCCCCTCCAGCAGGCTTCGTGGCTAGAGCCCGCCCGCCAGAGTATGCAAGACATTCTTGGCTCGGCCGTTTGCTGGGGATTAGCAGGGCAGGGGCAGCCGGGGGAGGCAGACTGTGTTCTCTGTCCTCGGCGAGGCGGGGTAGGGGGGGCATCCAGGCACAAGCGTGTCTGAAGTGGCCGCCAAGCTGGCCAGGGAGGGAACACGGCCCCATCAGCCGAGGCCACGTCTGGGACCCAGACGGCGGGGCTGGGGTGGGGACGTTCAAGGAAGGCTGCCTGCCACCTGCTCCGTGTCCAGGAGTCGGGGGCAGCCGAGGCTGCTCACCCCACCCCCCAGCCCCTGTATCCGTCCGTGAGCCCCTTCCAACCCCCAGAGCCCGCCCTCCCTGCAGCGGCCTGGCCCACCCCACCCTGCTGCCCGGACCCCACGGTTGGCTGAGCCCGAGGCTTGCTCCTGGATGGTCAAGGAGCAGACGCTCAGCTGCCTCCCGTCTCTCCCCGCGTCAACTGCAGGTCTCCCTCCCCACTGCCTCCTTCTAGGACAATGCCTCCGTCCTCAGACCATCATTTCAGACCAAGACTGTGTCTCCCGAAAAGTCAGCCTCCCGAGTCAGGGCTATGTACACACACACACACACACACGTTGAGAAAGTGTCCTAGGACAGGGCCTTGCCCCCATCAGACCATCATCCTAGACCAGGGTTGTACCTCCCCCAACAGACTAGCATTCCCAAGTCTCATCCCTCCCTCAGTGGTGACAGTAGAGGGTGGGGTCGGGGACCACGAGCTGCCCAGAGAAGAGAGATGAAGGAGGTTGCTAGGTCCCCGACCACCCTCGGGCTCACCTGGTCCCCTGAGGAATCTCTGTGCCAAGGACAGGTATAAACAGTTCCCGACTCGGGGCAGGAGGCCTGGGCTGGACCGGTTAGGGAGGGGAGGCGTCCTGGGGAGGTGACTCTGGAGAAGGGTCTGTGGGCAGGGAAGGCTGAGCGGGGGGCAGCTAGCAGCTGTTTTGCAGCCAATGAGGGGAAGCCCCCCACCCCTTGCAGGCTGGGGTGAAAGCACCTCCTCGTCCTTCTCCAGGGCTCAGTGGGGCTGTCCCCGAGCAGTGTTCATCCCTGACCTGGGGCTCTGAGACGCCCTGGGGGCAGAGGAGAGGGCTCAAGCTTTGGGTCAGACCCACCTGAATCTAACTCCTGGACCCACTCTTACACGATTTGACCTTTCTGAGGTCAGCTTCGCTCATCTGGAAAACAGAGAGAGTAACCCCTACCCTGGGGGTCCTTGAGGTCAACAGGCAACATTTGTGAAACTCCTGGCAAACACACAGGTGGCCCGAAATCCACCGTGGTTTTTTCCCTCGGTTGGCCACAGGTAACTCCAGGTGACAACGGGGCCAAGATACAGCAAACAATGGATGCGAGTCCGGCCTGTCCCTCATCCCACGTCCAGCTGCAGGTTCTCCAGGAAGTGGCTGAGACAAAGCAGAGTGGCAGGGTGGGGAGAGAGCTGGCTGGCCTTGGGAGGGACAGCCTCGGTGGCCGAGGGAGAGGACGGGCGCCCTCCAGCAGGAATTGGAATCCCTGGCACCTCGGGGCTTTCTCATGAGTCCGTTCTCTCCCCAGACTCTGGCCAAGCGCCTGGTCAAGGCCTCCCTACACAGGGCAACGCCAGCGTTGATCCAGACTTGGTCGTCCCTCCTGGAGCCCTGGGACCCAAGGAGAAGTCAAAGCCCACAGTGCAACGGGGCAGAACTGGGCAGTGGAGTGTCTGAAAGTCACGCCTGGGAACGAGGGACCCAATACCAGCCTAGGACGGATGAGGGCAGGGCAGGCCATTCCCAGCCTCTGGGGAGAGGCTGGGCCTGTTGGGGATGGGAGGCCCAAAGTTTGGGCGCAAGGCCCCAAGTAGCATATCATGTTGGCCAGAGCCTCTGGGCCTAGGGGACACAGCACGGGGCTCAGGAGTCATGTGCACAGACGGGCAAGGAGCTACCTAACAATCAGAGGGTGGCTAGTATTACCCAAAACTGCAGTGAAAAAGGAAAGATCACAGGGGACACAGAAAGGGAGGTGTTACTCTTCCTCTGCCTCATCTTCTGTCCCCCGAGACTGGGAGACAAAGGACTAAATCCTGACTGTTCCATAGACCAGCTGTAAGGCATTGGACAAGATAATGTGTCAGAGCCTCAGTTTTCTCATCTATAAAATGGGAGTGATGATAAAACTAAGGGCCATTGGCTGAGTCAAGAAAGGACCCGGCACTGGGAAATGGTAGCTGTGGTCCCCGGCACTGTAACATTCATCATTTCCAGGCCCCTCTGAGAAGAACCCAGAGGCCCCAGCTCAGGGTGGGCGGTCCAAACCAGAGGCCATAAATTCCAGGTCTGGAGCCCCTGCTAGACAGGGGCAGGGGTCCTCAGCCCTCAGCACCACCCGAGTGGGGACAAAGAAGGGACAGAGGCCCAGCTAGAGCCGGCACAATTCCAGCCCTGGTCTATTCCTGATCTAAGCGCTGAGACCTCTCCCCACTGGGGCACCCGGCCAAGCCCTTCCAAGACGGGATCAGACACGAGGACAGCTCACCCAGGCCAGGGACAGAGCTCGCTCCCTGTTTAGTCCTTAAAAGTCCACCGGACTGAGCTCCTCTCCCGCAGCGGAGGGGGCCGGCATGGGCAGGGGCTGCATTCCCCGCATGCCATGGAGGGGGAGGCAGCCGGAGGTCTCCCCAGAAAGCGCCTAGCTCCAGGCCAGATCCTGGGAAGAGGCCACAGCACCAGGACCTGGAGCAGCCCGGCTGCTTGCTGCCCGGCAGCTTGGGGCTGCACTGAACATGCCTGGCAAAGCCAGCCCCAGCGTGGGCGGAGTGGGGGAAATGGGGGGGAGAGGGTGCAGTTAGGATAGGACTTAATAAGAGGGAGGGGGACAGGGAGGGGAAGGGTGTCAGACAGAGGAGAAGGGACTTAGTGATGGGGGAAGAGGTTCACGTGGGGCGTGCTCAGCAAGAGACCCAGGCCCTCCCTCCCTCCCTCCCTCCCTCCCTCCACATCACCCTAGTCTTGTCTGGCTCTGCCACGCAGCTGTTACTGGGCCACCCACTCTAGGCCGTACCTCTGTCCTCCTGCCTGCCTGGCCCTGACCACCCTGCCATGTCCCTCTCCATCTGGGTCCTCAATGAAGTCCAGGACAGAACAGCCCAAGGTCTGGGCCCTCTCCGGACATCTCTGCAAAGGCCTGGGCAGTCCAGGCAGGGAAGAATTCAGGCTCCAGGCCCTGCTCAAGCTCTGAGGCCATAGTGCAGAGGCACAGGGACCCCTCCCTGGCATTGCTCTGTGGTTGGAGGGGACATGGGCTGAGAACCAGGTCACCACACACACGGAGACCCGAGCTACTGTGGGTCAGCTCCAGGTGTGAGCTAGCCCATGGAGCAGTGGTCGGCTCTCTCTGGCAGCCCAAGGAAGCCTGCCTGGAGGAGGAGGCATGACCCTCAAGCTGGGCTTGAAGGAGGAGGGAGCCAGGTAAAGAGGACTGGCCGTGGGGAGTGGAGGGCCGTGCAGGGGCAGGTATGTGGCAGGCGTGGCAGGGAGAAGGGCAAGCTGGGGCCGCAGAAGTGGACAGGCGCTGCCACGCACAGCCTGGCAAGTGTTGCCATGTGGGTAGGATTTCATCTTAGAAGTTGGGGGGCCATACAGAGGTGTGTAGTCAGAGACTTCCTGGGAGAGGGTCCTCTGAGGAGCAGAAGAAGGAAGAGGGGTCCCCTGGGAGCTATTCACCATAGGGTTACCCCTCTGCCTCCTTAGGCCGAGGGAACTGGACTCTGCGCCCCTTCCCACAGTTCATCCATGGAGGATGTCCTATAAAAGGGAGGATGGGTGGTTCCTGCAGACATCCTCAGGCTCTGTCCAAGATCAAGCCTCCCAGGGCCCAAGTCTTATAAACCCAGAGGGGCTGTGGGTCACAGGGGGTGAGGGTGTCATAGCTGAACCCTCTCCTCCCCTCCCCTTCTCATCACACACACACACACACACACACACACACGCCAGGAAGGCAAGTTGCCCTGGAAGTACTCTTTAGATACAAACACTTCTTCAGGAGCTACCCTGGGGAGGGAAGGGGGAAGGAGCAGGCCAGCTAGGAAGAGGCCAGGGGTTGAGGGGCATGGAGAGACCCCCTCCTGGTCACCAAGTAGCCCTGGTCCCTGGGGCAGGGGGGGCCAGGGCTGAAGCCGCCTTTCCCGCAGCCCAGAGGGAAAGCTAGAGGTGACAGGAAGAGTGACAGCAGAGGTAGGAGAGCCCTGGACCAGGGTCCCAAGGCCTGCATTCTACACCCAGCTCTGCTGCTGGCTCTGGACCTCGGTTTCCCTGATCTGTAAAATGGAAGGGTTGTCTTGATGGCTCCTTCGACCCTGGTTTTCCAGCTCCCATATTCTCTGCTGCTGTCAGGGCCTTCCCCAGGGGGAGAGGGGTCCAGAGGCCCTTCCTGTCCAGCCCCTTGCAGAAGCCCCCCTCTGCCACCCGCTGCCCTACTGGGTGTGGCGTGGGGAAGAGCAGCTTGTTGGGTACATGGGGGTGCCAGCAGGGGGCCAGCACTGGAGAAACAGCCTGGAAGGACAGGGTGGGGAGGAATTTGGAAATTTTTAGAACCTTGACAGCTGGAGCCCCGTTAGTCAGTGGGGCAGATGGAAGTGATTAGGCGCTGGCGGGAGGTGTAGTGGGGCGGAGACGGGAACCGAGCGTGAGGGCTCGGAGCTCAGACCCCAGCGGGCAGCTTCCTCCCAGCTACACAGTCGCCACGGGCCTGGGGCTGCTGTGAGTGTCTGGAGGCAAGGCTGTGTAGCAGGTTCATGTGCTGGGGACCAGGAGGTCAGAGGCAGGACCCACAGGGAAGAGAGAGGACCCCAGGACAGGGGAGAGGCATGGGACACAGGGTTGGGGGGCCTTCTGCTATTAGCTCCATAATACTTGCTGTCCAGAGGAGGGAAGTTTCTTGGTACCTGCCCCTTATAGCTTCTCCCCGCTCTCAGAAGGTCCTAGGACCTCCCCCAGTGGTAACGCAAACCACCCCCCCAAATCCAATCATATACTCCCCCCTCGGAAGGCTACTCTTTTGTCCCTCAAATCATATCTCATCTCTGGGCAAGGGGAAAGCAGAGAATAAAGACATTTTCCAAAGAATTCCAGAATTCCATTTTAAACCATTGATCGAGCCCCTCCTGGGCCAGACCTGTGCTGGGTTCTGGGGATTCTGAGAAAACTCACAGAGTCCCTGCCCTTAAGAAATGTTCGGGGCTTCCCTGGTGGCGCAGTGGTTGAGAGTCCGCCTGCCGATGCAGGGGACACGGGTTCGTGCCCCGGTCCGGGAAGGTCCCACATGCCGCGGAGCGGCTGGGCCCGTGAGCCATGGCCGCTGAGCCTGCGCGTCCGGAGCCTGTGCTCCGCAACGGGAGAGGCTGCAGCAGTGAGAGGCCTGTGTACCGCAAAATAAATAAATAAATAAATAAATGTCCGGTCAAGCAGGGGAGACCCATGGACATGGAGAAGCAGCAGAGTGCCTGAGAACAGTCCAGCAGAGCTTGCGTGGCAGCACGCAGGACAGGGAGGCTGTGAGGTGGGGGCTGCAGAGAGCCAGGCCTGGTCCTGGAGAGATGCTGAGGATGAGGGAAGCCAGGAGGAGCCGGGGGCCGGGGGGGCTCCATCCCACTGGTTCAGGCCCTGAGATTAATGAGCAAAGAGGCCCTTGGTCACCAGGGAGCAGCAGGGTGGGGGCCAAAGTGGAGCAGGCAGCGGGGTGAGGACAAGGACAGGAAGTGGAGGTGACCAGAGCCCAGCTGCCAGGGGGACAGGGACATGACTGGCCGGGGGAGTCCTGATCGGGAGGTGCTGGGAAGGTGGGGAACACCCAGGCAGAGGCCCTCTCAGGACGCAGGGCTCAGAGCCCTGCGTGACAGCTAGAGCCACGTTGGGACTGTCCCTTCCCCCTCTCCAGGCCTCAGTGGTCTCACGAATCCAAAGGGGGCAAAGAATGCTGGCTCCTGCAGGCCGCTGCCTCCTGGAGACCCACCAGCCACTCCTCAACTCATCACAGCACTCAAACCTGAGCACGAGGGCTTCCCTGGTGGCGCAGTGGTTAGGAATCTGCCTGCCAGTGCAGGGGACACGGGTTCGAGCCCTGGTCCGGGAAGATCCCACATATCATGGAGCAACTAAGCCCGTGCGCCACAGCTACTGAGCCTGCGCTCTAGAGCCCGCAAGCCACAACTACTGAGCCTGCGTGCCACAACTACTAAAGCCTGCGCACCTAGAGCCCCATGCTCCGCAACAAGAGAAGCCACCACAGTGAGAAGCCCGCGCACCACAACGAAGAGTAGCCCCCGTTCGTTGCAACTAGAGAAAGTCAGCACTCAGCAACAAAGACCCAACACAGCCAAAAATAAATAAATAAATAATTTTATTTATTTAAAAAAAAGAAAGAACTGAGCATGACTGTGGCTCAGTGAACTCAGCCTTTTCCAAAGCGTCTCGTGGCGTCATTGTTCAGCAAATATTGGCCGATGGCCGCTCTCTTCCAGGCCCATGCCAGGCTCTGTGGTATGGAAGAAAACCAAGCGTGGTCCTGGCTGAGGGAGAGGGACAGACGGAGTGTCCCGGTTGCCATGGTTGCCATCTGGGACGAGGGATTCCCTCCACCTGGGAGGTGGGGATGCCGTGTTAAAGAGGCAAGTCTGGCATAAGGGGCCGGAGTTTGCCAGGCAGGCCTGGGTGAAGAGCTGTCAAGGGCATGGAGCTGGGGAGGGGGGACGGTCGGGGGGTCCACAGGGGGCCCCACAGAGGGCGTGAGGCAGGCCTGAGGAGAGGGCAGATGTGGGCAAGGTCAGAACGTCAGCACCCAGGCTTTGTCCCTGGAGGTCATGGGGGGTTATCAAAGGTTTGAAGGAGGGACGATCAATGCCGTAGAAAGATCATTCTGATAGTCTATGAGCAGGCCAGGATAAAGGCCAAATTTGGTGGCCATGAATAAGAGGGACACAAGGGGAACTTAGTAGGTGATATCGATAGGATTTGGTAACAGCATGTAGGGAATCGAGGTGGGGGAGGAAGATGTGTCTAGGAAGTCAGGAGGTTGGACCTGCCTCAGGTAGAGATGGGGACAGCAGAGGAACAGCTGATCTGGTTGCATCGCTGAGCCTCCCTTGAATCTGACAGCTTTGCAGCCTCTGGGACAACTCCGTAGAGAAGACCCACAAGGGCTATCAGCACAGAGCTGGCAATGAAGGATGAAGGGTCTTAAACAGAAGGCCAAAGAGCTCAAGATTCTCCCATGGACCAGATGGGGAGCCACCAGAGGTTTTAAGCAGGGAAGTGACAGCATCAGATTTAGAAGAATCATTTGGGCAGTGGGGAGGAGGCTGGTGTGGGCAAAGAGAGATCAGAGGCAGGGAGACCTAGGATGAGGGTGAAATGTCCCCCTAGAGGCCAGGGCCCCAGCAGTGGGTCCTAGAGCAGGCACTGGGAAGCCACTGACCTAGGCTTAAGGGTCACATGTTGATCTCACTTTTTACATAAGTTCTTTTTTTAAAAAAATATTTTTTTATTTATTTGGCTGTGCCGGGTCTTAGCTGCAGCATGTGGGATCTTCATGGCCACGTGCAGGATCTTCGTTGTGGCATGAGGGATATTTAGGTGCGCCATGCGAACTCTTAGTTGTGGCATGTGGGATCTAGTTCCCTGATCAGAGATCAAACCCGGGCCCCCTGCGTTGGGAACGGAGAGTCTTAGCCGCTGGACCACCAGGGACGTCCCCATAAGTTCTTGACAAGCTGGGTGGTAAATGATTCTTAGGCTGGTGCTTTATGTCAAATCCTAGTTTAAATGACTCGATTCAAAAATGAAATTAGAAAAACA